GAGCCGTCGAGCTTTTTTGCCACCGCTACAGGACTGTCGTCCCCACCTCTAGTATTCGTATCGACAATTTTGGAGTTTGGGTAGAGGGACGGGGTGAAACGAGGCAGTTGGTGTGTGGATGGAAGAAGATGATTATAATCTATTTTTCACTTATTTTTTTAAAATCCGTTTGACAAAAATGTCCTTCAATTAAAAAAAATTAAAGACAATTGCATTGCACGCACAAAATTAACTATCTTTCGAACGAAGTTCATGCAAAAGGACCATTTATGCCAAAAAAGAAAAAAGTGCAAAGGTTTGAGACCATTTGCACTATATTTGAAAGGTTTGGTTCAAAAAATGCAAAAAGGGCAAATGTTTTGGACCATTTGCACTAATTTCCCTTGTTAATGGGTTGTTTAGCATCTACTTTTGGCTTATAAGCTCTATCCACTTATGACAATCTAAAAAAAGGGTGTTGAATATTCTTGTTGTATTGTTTAGTAGACAAGATTAGGCATAAAAATGTACAAATCTGCAACACGCTAAAAAGTGAAAACGTAGCTTCAGAATTATGAAACATTTTGAAATTATTGGAAGAAATGCGAGTTTTTCAGTTATAATTTTTGTTGAGATAGAGGAGCACAATCATGTTTGGCGCAGCTCGAAAGTTTTCCATCTTCTAGCTAGGCAACATATGTGTGCATACGATGTAAACGAGTTACATGGATCATTGAATCACACGATATAATCTATAGAGGTAGAAAAACATATATTTGATAAAATTTTCATGTTTAAATTTGAACTTTGTCTTATCACATTGTGAGTCAACAATTTGTAACTTAAAAATTAAGTAATTTGTTGAAAAATTGAATAAATTATTTTTTGATATTTGTTCACCTTTATGTATCCAATTACGACGAAAGACAAGAAAACTATGAAAAAATTGTTTAAGGTTTTCATTTAAGATGTAATTCTCCATTGCGGCCTTATCATCTCAACAAAGATATAATAATAATTTATATAGTCACTATAATATATCAAATGAAAGATGGAATCAAGTTATATATATGATATTTAGTTGCAGCGCCTTCTAGCAAAAATGTAACAAACTTTACTCCAAAGTCATGTTTAAAACGAGGAAAAAAATGTGGATTCATAAACGACTTTCTTTATTTTGTTCGAATACGTAGTTGAGATATTTTTAACTGATAAATTTTAACAATTGGACCATTTATAAAACGTGAAAAATAAGTAAATGGAAACAAAAATACGAGTGTAATTGATATTTTAACTCATTTTTCAAATTTAGAATGTTAATCAAGTCGAAAGTTTGGTTATCTCAACTACCCATGACATTACCTTAAAAAATACAGACAAATAATTAACCTCTGCGAAAGGCAATCTTCACCTAACCTAAATAATTTAAGGTTTGAAACATGGCTTCTTATTGAAGGGCAGAAGCACAAAGAAAGGTATCTAACCTATAGAACCCTATATATATTGTGTCAAATTTAAGTATACAAATGGCGACCCCCAATCTGCAATCCAAAGAAAATGCATCAATGAAGCCATCCTATAAACGGTACTCAATAAGGGGCCCCAATTATTATTTTGAAAAGGGTAAAGAAATCGTAGACCAGAATATATTGGGATTAAGAATGTCATATAATCATCAAAAGAAAAAGGATGATGTAAATATGATCATGTTGGGTTTTGCAATTGTCTAAAGAAAGAGGGGCAGCGCAAAAACATTATTTTGAATGGTTGGTAGTGGGTTAAGATGGCCCCGAGGGTTTCTTAAACTTCACTTGCAAATTTCCAGCCTATTTGAGTCAGTATATAATGAGCCGATTCTTTAATTGCTGCTTCACAGGTCGAGTTTCAAAGAAAAGCCCAGAGTCACAGGTAATGTACTGAAGTATTTTTTTGATGTATACTCTGTTCTTGCTTTCTTTAAAGTAATAGCCTTCCATTTTTGTTTACATTTTATCATGATCCGACGAAAATCGTAATACCTATCTGGGATTTCTTTGATTAAGATGGTTATTTGATATTTTTCTGGTGGACGTAGAAATCAGGAGACAATATGGAGAAACAATCTACAAGCAATGCCAACAACGTGTTTCATCCTCAGGTGAATGAAAAGATTTTGTTTTTGCAGCTTTCCGTGTTCTTATATTGAGTTCTTTGATGCCCCCAATTTCTTCATCATTTGGTTGTCTTCCGTTATTGGGCATTTCTTGTGGTACCATTTTTTAATTGAGTTATCAAGTCTTGCATTATTTTACGCAAGCATAAATTTCAGATAAAATGTAGTTCTCTTTTGTATCTTTTTTCGAGTTTCCAATTTGACTTTCTTGGAAGGGCTTAACATTTGTATGTCTTAAGACTCTTAACAAAATAAGAAACTAACAATCACATCATTGTTGCAACTGCAAAGTGTCAATCATGAGATCATGTCAAGAAGTATATGTTTTTTAATCTCAAAAATAAACATTATAATAGTGATGAGAGTGTTGGGTTGAGGCCACTGATTGTATATAGGGATGTTGAAAGCTTCCAAAATAATTGGGGCTTAGGAGGGGTTAATTGTAAGACGTCTGCAACTGTAATTTTTGTTGGTAGTGTAATTATATTTCTTAAGTATCTAAGCTACCTTTAGTATGGTGATTTGGTGTAGAACCACAAACAAAGCTATGCTACAATCTTGTCTAGTGTACACATATTATCCCATCCTGAATGTTTTTTTTCCTCCTTCTATGTTCTAATTTCAGCTCATATCAGTTATATGAATCAATATTTTGGTATTTCTGGCAGAACTTGAACGAGGAGGTAAACGATTCAAGCAGCAGAGCTTCTATAAACATCATACTCAACCACGATTTCTCTGGAGGACTACATCTGTGGCACCCCAATTGTTGTGATGCTTTTGTGATTTCTGAAGAGTCTGGTAACTCTGAAGGAATACCTGCCAAGCTAAGTGGTCGCTATGCTGTTGTAACTAATCGGAGTGAATGCTGGCAAGGCTTGGAACAAGACATTACCAACCAAGTTTCCATGGGTTCCACTTACACAGTTTGTGCTTGGGTGGCAGTGTCTGGGGCTCACCACAGTATTTCTGATGTGCTGGCCACTCTAAAACTTGAATACCAAGATTCAGCAGTTAGTTATTTGTTCATTGGAAGGTAAAGTTTGCTTTCACTTGGTTCTTCTACTGCTTAAGAAATTAGTTCTTGATTGCATTGACCTGGTGCAGAATTTCTGCGACAAGGGAGCGTTGGGAGAAAGTGGAAGGTACATTTTCACTGTCAACTATGCCTGATCGAGTTTTATTTTATCTAGAAGGACCTTCCCCTGGTGTTGACCTACTCATAAGATCTGTAATGGTTTCCTGCTCTAGTTCGGCTGAATATGATGTAAGTTTATCTCAAGTACATTTTTTTCTTACATGTAGACTTAGAGATGGATTAAAGCTCTGTAACTTATCTTTTGTCGGTGAATAAGTACCACTAAGTGCATTATGAGTAATTTTGGCTAAGCTAAAAATGTTTAGTTTTAAGTAAATAAGTAACTTATAAAATAAATATTTTTTTAGGTCATTGGAAATAATTCCTTAACTTTGACAATAAGGTAAGGGTAACTTTGAAAAAATGTAACATCTTTAAGTAAAAAAATATAAGTTATCCTAACAAGTTTGTAGATAAAAAATCTTATCACGTGCTCTGGACTGAGACACAACAAATCAAAGTTAGCTCTTTTTGTTTATTTCCTCTCGCACTCTTCTCAGCTCTTCTTGTCTCATCTCTGGTTGGTTTCTAATGTGGTATTGACTTTAAAAACTGATAGGGCCGAAGCACAGGATCTATCTGTGATGAAGATGAGAACATAGTTCTGAATCCAAAATTTGATGATGGCCTTCAAAACTGGTCCGGAAGAGGTTGCAAGATTGTCTTGCATGACTCTATGGCAGATGGCAAAGTCCTTCCAATGTCTGGAAAGTTCTTTGCATCTACAGCAGATCGCACGCAGAACTGGAATGGAATTCAGCAGGAGATAACGGGGAGAGTTAAACGAAAGATTGCTTATGAAGTTGCTGCTGTAGTTCGAATATATGGTAATAACGTCACTAGTTCAGATCTTCGGGCTACATTGTGGGTTCAGGCAGCAGATCTCCGTGAACAGTACATAGGGATTGCCAGGTAATTTCTGTCTCCCCTTTCAATGGGATACTTTCAGTTTACAGCCATGAATCTTGGTGTGCTTTTACTTTATCTTCTGAGAGATGAACTAAATTTCCAAACTTAAAGTTCCTCCAAACATAACTTTCTTGTGATCATATTTACAATAGTATCTGAACAATCTTCTGCACTTCACAAATTTTTTTGCTGTAGAATGCATATTTCTTGAGAGTTTATCTGCTTTTTTGTTATATGGTCCCATTGTTAGGTTTTGATGACTCTCCCAAGTTTCCACATTAGACGGTGATCAGTTTCATAGAGATCTGACAAAGTATATATAGATTTATTTCTTAGTCTGTGTTACACTTTTATATTCTTTTCATTCTTTCCATCATTTAGTGAAAACCAATAAGTAAAATATATTGTTTATTTTTGTTACATGGTCCAATTTTTTTTACTTCTTTTGGCATGGATTAGTATTTTCAAGCACATTTGCTTCATGATAGCTGGCTGGTTATGTAGTGTGCAGGCAACAGACAAAGATTGGGTGCAGTTGAAGGGAAAATTTCTCTTGAATGGTTCCCCTTCAAGGGCAGTAATTTATTTAGAAGGTCCATCTCCGGGCACTGACATTCTCCTTAATAATCTAGTTGTGAAGCATGCTGCAAAAGTCCCACCTTCATCTCCACCAGTCATCAAGGTAGTTGAATAATTTCTACATACTTTTATGGGCCCGAAACACTTGCTTGGATGCAAATTGCAGAGAAATAAAAGTAAAAGTATTGTGATGAATTTCCATTTTTCCAGGATGCAACATTTGGCGTTAATATTATTGCTAACAGCAACCTCAGTGATGGCACCAATGGTTGGTTTCCCCTTGGAAATTGTACTCTATCCATTGGAAATGGTTCTCCACATATCCTTCCTCCCATGGCTCGAGATTCCCTTCGTCATGAGCCATTAAGTGGTCGCTATATACTTGTGACCAAACGTACTCAGACGTGGATGGGCCCCGCTCAGATGATAACGGATAAATTGAAACTCTATTTGACATATCAAGTGTCTGCATGGGTTCGGATTGGCACTGGTGCAACTAGACCTCAGAATATTAACGTTGCTCTTGGCGTGGACAGCCAATGGGTAAATGGTGGCCAAGTTGAGATTAATGATGACAGATGGCACGAAATTGGAGGATCTTTTAGAATTGAGAAGCAACCAGCAAAGGTAATGGTTTATGTCCAGGGTCCCGATGCTGGTGTAGATTTGATGGTTGCTGGACTTCAAATCTTTCCGGTTGACAGAGAAGCGCGATTTAAACAGTTAAAGAGNNNAAGCGCGATTTAAACAGTTAAAGAGCGAAACCGATAAGGTACACTAATGAATTGAGTTTCCATTATAATGGCTTGATGGTAATTTGTTTAAGAATTTTTTTATTTAATGCATATGTTATTATGCAGATACGCAAGCGTAATGTCATCTTGAAATTTTCCACATCTGATTCAACCACTTTGCTTGGCACGAATGTGAAAATTAGACAAATGCAAAATAGTTTCCCGTTTGGATCATGTGTGAGTAGATCAAACATTGACAATGAAGACTTCGTTGATTTCTTCTCCAAAAACTTCAACTGGGCTGTCTTCGGAAATGAATTGAAGTGGTATTGGACAGAAGCGCAGCAAGGAAACTTGAATTACAAGGATGCCGATGAGCTCTTGAACTTTTGTGTAAGCCATAACATTCAAGTCAGGGGTCACTGTATCTTCTGGGAGGTGGAGTCCGCAGTTCAGACATGGATACGCACTTTGAACAAAAATGATCTGATGTCAGCTGTTCAAAACCGTCTATCCAGCCTCCTCACACGCTACAAGGGAAAATTTAAGCACTATGATGTGAATAATGAAATGCTGCACGGTTCATTCTATCAAGATCATTTGGGAAAAGATATCAGGGCAAATATGTTCAAGAATGCTAATCAACTGGATCCTTCTGCCATCCTATTTGTGAATGATTACCATATCGAGGATGGTTCTGACTCACAATCATCTCCGGAGAAGTACATTGAGCACATTCTTGATCTCCAAGAACAGGGAGCACCTGTCGGAGGAATAGGCATACAGGGGCATATAGACAGTCCAGTTGGGCCAATTGTCTGTTCTGCCCTTGATAAGTTGGGAATTCTTGGACTTCCAATATGGTTCACGGAACTTGATGTGTCTTCCAACAATGAGTATGTTAGAGCTGATGATTTGGAAGTCATGCTTCGGGAAGCTTTTGCACACCCTGCAGTCGATGGCGTTATGTTGTGGGGATTCTGGGAGTTGTTCATGAGTCGAGATAATGCACATTTAGTGAATGCTGAAGGGGATATTAATGTAGCCGGTAAAAGATATCTTGCTCTTAAGCAAGAGTGGTTGACTCGTACTCATGGCCATATAGACGAACAAGGTCAGTTTGAGTTTAGAGGATTTCATGGATCGTATGAAGTTGAAGTTGTTACTCTTTCAAAGAAAGTGACCAAGACATTTATCGTTGATGAAGGGTTGGAGCCAGTCGCTATTGCTGTCAATTTATAGTCGCGCTTCAATAATTAAGAGATTATCACACTTGAACTGCTTCAATATTATTATTATTATTATTATTATTATTATTATTATTATTACCTGTGAAAGAGAGAAGATAATGTATTGCTGACTTGGGAATGTGCTGTGGGTAGTGTAAATTTGTTGTTTCTATTTGCAAGATTCATAATAAAGAATAAGAAAGTGTTTTCTATTGTTGATATGATAGTTCATATTAATGAGTATGTTGATTTGTGCCATCTTCTGTTTACACTGAGTTCTTCATTGAAAAATAGGCATAAAATGATGCGTCGGTGAATCATTGATTGATATCGAGTTGGACAACAGATCTCAACTCCTTTAGTGATAGCTAATAAAGGGCTAATTTTTGTCTAAACTAGTGCATATTTTTAGCATTAAATTTTGCAAGAAACAACACAATTTACCATTCGAAAAGAAAGACATAATTCTGATACATAAAATTGTTGAAGAAGAAGATAGTTCCAACTCAAATATCTAAAATTCTTCAAAACCCATAACGATGTGCATATATACATAAACATTTAANAAGCGCGATTTAAACAGTTAAAGAGAGAAACCGATAAGGTACACTAATGAATTGAGTTTCCATTATAATGGCGTGATGGTAACTTGTTTAAGAATTTTTTTTATTTAATGCATATGTTGTTATGCAGATACGCAAGCGTAATGTCATCTTGAAATTTTCCACATCTGATTCAACCACTTTGCTTGGCACGAATGTGAAAATTAGACAAGTGCAAAATAGTTTCCCGTTTGGATCATGTGTGAGTAGATCAAACATTGACAATGAAGACTTTGTTGATTTCTTCTCCAAAAACTTCAACTGGGCTGTCTTCGGAAATGAATTGAAGTGGTATTGGACAGAAGCGCAGCAAGGAAACTTGAATTACAAGGATGCTGATGAGCTCTTGAACTTTTGTGTAAGCCATAACATTCAAGTCAGGGGTCACTGTATCTTCTGGGAGGTGGAGTCTGCAGTTCAGACATGGATACGCACTTTGAACAATAATGATCTGATGTCAGCTGTTCAAAACCGTCTATCGGGCCTACTCACTCGCTACAAGGGAAAATTTAAGCACTATGATGTGAATAATGAAATGCTGCACGGTTCATTCTATCAAGATCATTTGGGAAAAGATATCAGGGTAAATATGTTCAAGATTGCTAATCAACTGGATCCTTCTGCCATCCTATTTGTGAATGATTACCACATCGAGGATGGTTGTGACTCACGATCATCCCCGGAGAAGTACATTGACCACATTCTTGATCTCCAAGAACGGGGAGCACCTGTTGGAGGAATAGGCATACAGGGGCATATAGACAGTCCAGTTGGGCCAATTGTCTGTTCTGCCCTTGATAAGTTGGGAATTCTTGGACTTCCAATATGGTTCACAGAACTTGATGTGTCTTCTGACAATGAGTATGTTAGAGCTGATGATTTGGAAGTCATGCTTCGGGAAGCTTTTGCCCACCCTGCAGTCGATGGCGTTATGTTGTGGGGATTCTGGGAGTTGTTCATGAGTCGAGATAATGCACATTTAGTGAATGCTGAAGGGGATATTAATGTAGCCGGTAAAAGATACCTTGATCTTAAGCAAGAGTGGTTGACTCGTGCTCATGGCCATATAGACGAACAAGGTCAGTTTGAGTTTAGAGGATTTCATGGATCGTATGAAGTTGAAGTTGTTGCTCATTCAAAGAAAGTGACCAAGACATTTATCGTTGATGAAGGGTTGGAGCCAGTCGCTATTGCTATCAATTTATAGTCGCGCTTCAATAATTAAGAGATTATCACACTTGGAACTGCTATATATATATATATATATTATTGCCTGTGAAAGAAAGAAGGTAATGTATTGCTGACTTGGGAATGTGCTGTGGGTAGTGTAAATTTGTTGGTTCTATTTGCAAGATGCATAATAAAGAATAAAAAAGTGTTTTATGTTGTTGATATGTTTGTTCATATTAATAAATATGTTGATTTGTGCCATCTTCTGTTTACACTGAGTTTCTTCATTGAAAAATAAGCGTAAAATGACGTGTCAATGAATCATTGATGAATATCAAGTTGGACAGCAGATTTCAACTCCTTCAGTAATCGTTAATAAAGGGCTAATTTTTGTCTAAACTAGTACATATTTTAAGCATTAAATTTTGCAAGAAACAACACAATTTACCACTCGAAAAGATAGACATAATTCTAGTACATAAAATTGTTGAAGAAGAAGATAGATCAAACTCAAATATCTAAAATTCTACAAAACCCATAACGATGTGCATATATACATAAACATTTAATAGAAGAAAGAGATATATACATAATTCAATAACTTCAAATTCAAAAAAAAAAAAAAAGAGGAGATCGAAAAATGGCTTTTCTATTCCTGTGAGCTTTTACGATTAATCAAGACAAAGTCGAACCATCCATGGGAAAAGGCAAAGAATTGAGGTTTATAATATTTCTTCACGTCGTATTTGTCTCTTAATAGTTATTTTCATTGAACTTTATCATATGTTATTACATGTTCACCAAAACTTTAAAAAAGTTACTCACTGCTCACTCATATTTTAAAAAAGTTATCCATTCATTATTCATACCAATTTCATGCATGCACGTGGACTCCATCAATGCCACGTAGGGTTTTCATCCGTCCATGTGTAATTTTTTGTCCATGTGGATGGATAGAATTGGTGCGCGTGATGGATATTAATTTTTTTTTAAATATGGGTGAGCAGTGAATAACTTTCTAAATTTAAATTAACAAGTAGTAATTTAAGGTAAAGTTCAATCGACATTGATTTAATTAACTATATTACGACAGTGCATTTAAGTGTTCAAAAATTTGAACTGTTACAAGTTTTGTAAAATATGTTGATAACAAGTATATTATAGTAAACTATGAATTAAGTTTACCCAACATGCATATAGTACATACAAATGTAGTTTTTACTTTTTACTGATTGTAAAAATTTTTGTTAAAATTTACATTCTAAAAAAATAATTATAAAGCATATTTACGTAAATTTCTACTTGTTCATATAAACAAGTTTTTTACTTATGCCCCTGTCTGGTAACTATTCTTTCAAAGAATTAAGCTCCTCGTACAGATAAAATGTGCACGAATTTTTACAGATGATGAGGTAGCAACATTGAATTGACCGATTTAAAGTTTTTTTTTGTTCAACATCCAATGAAATTATGCTAATTGACAATTTGTCAAACTGTCTAACAAAAATCCTTGTACATGTAGCATGATTATCTTTCGGATCCTTTTTTTCTCGTACTCATTTATAATCATACATTCTCGCAATAAAATATTTTTCATGTAAATCCAAAAATTTTCTCACTTTTTAACCACACACTCTCCAAAAATTTTCTATTTAAAAATTCATTCTTTACGAAAAAATGGCTGCACAAGAGGGACTATATTGGGTAATTAGTAAATATCTTAGGGTGTATTTAATTGATTTTATTTTATATGGAAAATGTCATTTTTTTTTCACCTAAGTTCCCACTTTTAAAGTGTTTAATTGACATTTTTTCTATGAATTTTTTTTTTTCAAAGTTGGTAACGTGATCATATTTTCTCCAAAAACAAAGAAAACCTTTATTTTTTTTTTTTTGGGATGTGTATTATTTTATTTTTAAGGCAATTCACACCGACACTTTCTCGTCTAACCCATCTCTCTCATCTATTCACCAATAAAAAATGGACAAATATAATATTTTAAATGTTGAAAATTAAACAAATCAAATATATCTAACTAGTAATTTCCATGCAAATAAGTTTTAGGCTATAACTTATTTTTCTCGGTACAAATTCAATGCAAACACGTTCTTATTCTTTTACTTGAATCGTCACCTTCATCAGGCAATACTATAAACAAATAATAAGGACGTTAGGACCAAGTTGCAGATATAAGAGGAAGAAATAATCAATTCATTTACTATTATACATACCAGTTGAAGATTAAAAAATCGAATGGAGAAACAGTCTCATCTATGTATTGCAAAATTTCCAGCCGCATTACGTCTCTATATGATGAGCCCTTTTTTTCATTGCTGCATCAGAAATCGAAACCCATTCGAAGGTACTTGAAAGTGTTTGTAATACTCATTTGGGATTTCTTACAGTAACATGTTTTTATTGATGTTGTGCTGTTGAACCTAGGAATCAAGAGACGGTAGCAATTCTAGTCCTAGCCTTCACTCTGAGGTGCGTAACTGAGGTTTTGCAGCAGTTTTTAGTTTTCATTTAAGGATTTCTTTCAATGTTTTTTTTTTTTTTTAAATCTTTTGAAGGATCGAAGGGGGATGTTTGGGGAAGTGCTAAACTTGCGTGAATGATGGCTTAATGTTTGTAAGGACAGTTTATAAAGAAAATTAGATGGTTCACATTTTGAAATGTTAAAATCAAGACCATAGGATGATTTAGTTAGTGATTTAAAGTTCAAATGTCTTGTATTAATCAGAAGTGAACTTGTGAATAGAGAGAAATATCAGGCTTATATTAAAGGTTCCACTGTATCTTGGAGGTGTATTTTGTACTGGCCAAGTGCATCACTGATATGGTTGGACTTGGGGCAAATAACTTTTTAAGGAAAACATCACAATAACAAATTTCTGTCTCCCCTTTCGGAGCCAAGTTGGTTTTTACATAACAGAATCCTATAATCAACTAATATTTCTAACAACAATTGTATGTCTTAATTTCAAAATGTTAAATTCAGTCACAACATCATTGCAGTTGCAAAGTGTCAAGTATGAGATTAATTGGTGAAGGATTACAG